AAGTATATAGGTATATACGGAAAACCAAAAGCCCACTCACTGATAAGTGGAAGGGTCGTAGCCCCCCTGCCTCGAGTGACCACGCTCGTCCTCGGGATACGTCTCACCTATATGTGAAATAACTATAAAAACGTTAATTTTAAAGCACATAACCACACTTTAGAAATAACTTCTCATACAATGCTCAAATGGGGTGTATGAATACACCAACGTGATCTACTCAACCTCACGAACATCCATAAATTTTTAGAAAAATTTTTCACCGCCGCACGCGCCCCACGCACCGGCCAAGGCACGACCACACTCGCCGGCCACGCGCAGGCACGTGCCTGGCACGCCGACGGCGTCAACTGACGCCGTTAGGAATATTTCGTTATCCCTAATGGATTCCGTCAACGGCGTCAGGAATATTCCGTCAGACTTGACGGAATATTCCGTCTTCTTCCCCGGCGAACCTTCGGCGTCGGAAAACTGGAAAATTTTTAAAACGTCCTAACTCCTTCATTTTTCAACCAAATTCCACGATTTTGGTACCAAAATGAAGCCTAGAACTAGAGGAACACAACCATACAACTTTTAAGGGCTAAAAACCACGTAATCTAACCTGAAAAATCGAACCAACTCTGGCCAACTTCAAAACCAACAATCCCGACGTCCAATTCCTTCAAACGAACTACTCCGAGCCTTCTTGGGACCTCACCAAGCTATCTACAAGCTTCATTTTCCCTAAAACGTGAGAAATCACGTGTGCATGAATAATACCCAAATCGGACATCGTCGAATCGACGTGAAAACGTTGGAGTTCTTACCTGGAAATGGTATGGTTGGGCTCGTACGAGCCTCACGAGCTCGAATATGTGCACAGTTCCTTCGATCTGTGGAGGTTTAGTGTGCTTGTGTATGTGTCCGTACGTTTTCGAAGAAAAAGAGAAGGAATGGGGCTCGGGACAGGTGCAGAGAAACAGGGAGAAAGGTTGTGGTGTGTGGGAAGGTGTGTGTGGCACCAAACATGCCAACAAAACCCCAAAAACAAACAATAAACGTAACGAAATCGAGCTAGGGGCAAAAATGTCCTTTCACACGTACGTTTTTTATATTTTCGGGACGGGCTGTCACATGGGTACCATCAACTTTGTCATTTGTTTTTTTTTTTTCTCTCTCCCAATTTATATTTATATTATATTCTATGATGACCAAATTACTAAATTACCCTTGCATGATTTGATAAATTATATTGGGTTGCTTTTGAATTTTTTTGGCTGATGGGCAACTTGGTTCTAATATTTTTGTTGAAGCTATGACACCAAAACAGCCTTCCAGCTTTATATATAATAGATGCAGTACATCAAATATTAAAGAAAATGTTTTTTTTTTTCACATTATGGACATTTTTGACAAATGATAGGATAATCTACACTAAACTCATCAAAACTACGGTGAGAAAATTCAAACACGAGACCTTGAGTGCAAAGGTGAACACTCTTAATGACACACCCCGATCGAGATCAGGGCATGCTGGCCGTCACGTGGAAGTGACGTAGCCATGTGCACAGTGCGAAAGCTAATAAAAATAATAATAAAAAGCACGAATAAATAAAAACTAGCTTTACACAAAGTAAATACAACAAGTGCAAGCGTAAGTGTGAACCCTAAGTTCAGAGCATAAAAGCCTAATGCAGTCCAAAAGGAAACGACACAACAAAAGCACACCCGAAGGTGGTCCTACACTGGTGGTGGTCTGTCAGATATGCCGGGAAAATCCTCAGGGAAACCACCAAATGTGCTAGCCAACTAGAACCTGGAAGGGCGCAAAACAAAAGCATGAGTGGGCAAAAACAAAGCTTTTCGAAAACCAATTTAATAAATAAGTTCTAACCCCTCGCCGTAAAACCTGTATACTTCCCAGAAAATAGAATATATATATATATATATATATATCATGCTCAGGAATATGCTATGCCGAAACCTCAAAGTAAAATGCAAGTGCTCAGGTAATGTCATATCAATGTCATGTAATCTGTCAGCCAGAGTCACCTAACGTGACCTGTACGGCTGAATCTAGAGCTCAAATCTCTGTCTCACTAACCATACCTGTACACGAGTCGGAACCACCTAAAGTGGTTTGTACGACAGGCCTGGGTGTAATATAAGTACGCTCTAGTGCTACGATCACGTGAAGGCTGGGCGAATAATCGCGGGTCACCTACGAGTCGGAACCACCTAACGTGGTCTGTACGACAAGCTTGTGCACCTAACTTGGATCTAAGATGAGCGTGTGGTGCGGGAGGTGAACATCACGTGAAGGACTGTGACCAACTCTGGGCGGGAGCACTAACACCGGGGGTGCAGGTTATGAGCTCTCTAGGCATCTAGAATCACTACTGAACGTAAATGTAAAATCATACTCACGCGGCACTTACCTGTGCGTCCACGGCACCAATACACATGTGTACTTGTATGACTAATAATGCATAAATGAACGACAACCAATAAACAAGGCATAATAATGTAAAAACATTTTAATTTATTTTCTGGGAAACGTATAAGTATATAGGTATATACGGAAATCCAAAAGCCCACTCACTGGTACGTAGAAGGGTCGTAACCCCCTTGCCTCGAGTGACCACGCTCGTCCTCAGGATACGTCTCACCTATATGCCAAACAACTATAAAAACGTTAATTTTAAAGCACATAACCAACCTTTAGAAATAACTTCTCATACATTGCTCAAAAAGGGTGTATGAATACACCAACGTGATCTACTCAACCTCAGGAACATCTCCATATTTTTAGAAAAAAATTTCACCGCCGCACGCGCCGGCCATGCGCAGGCACGTGCCTAGCACGCTGACGACGTCAAGAATATTCCGTTATCTTTAACGGTTTCTGTCAACGGCGTTAGGAATATTCCGTCCAAACTGACGGAATATTCCGTCGCCTTCTCCGGCAAGGCTCCGGCGCCGTCGCCGGCTCCGGAAAATCGTGAAATCTTTAAATCGTCCTATCTTCTTCGTTTTTCAACCAAATTTCCCAAAATTGATACCAAATTGAAGCTCACAACGAGAGGAACAAGTTCATACCACTTTCAAATGCTAAAATCCACAAAATCTCACCTGGAAAACTCCACCATTTCCGGCCAATTTCGAAACTCACAATCCTGACGTCCAAAACCTTCAAACGAACCACCCAGAGCCTCCTAGGGACCTCACCAAGCTTCCTACAAGCTTGAAATTCCCAAAAACATGAGAATTTATGTGTGCATGAACAATGCCAAAAATCGGGTATCTCGAGTTCGACGTGAAAATGAAGGTAACCTTACCTGAAATGGGTATGGTTGGACTCCTACGAGCCTCACGAGCATGGATACGTACTTTGTTCCTTCGATCTGTGAAGATTTGGTGTGTTTGGGTGTGTGTCCGTACAATGGATGGAAAGAAGAGGGAAAGGGAGCTCGGGACAGGGTGCAGGGATAGGGGAAAGGTGAGGGTGAGTGTGGGGAAGAGTGTGTGGTGCAAAACTAGCCACACCAAACCAAAAAGAACAACCACACAACGAAAAATCTCGCTAGGGGCAAAATCGTCTTTTCACGCGTACGTTTTTAAAATTTCCTGTACGGGCTGTTACACTTAACTAACCGATATACAAGGCACTGCACATTAAAAACTTCTGAAATGAATTTTCATATTTAAAATCTCTAATTTTAATACGTAAGCAATAAATGAAAACGAAAATTACTACTACCAAAAGCTTTTTTTTTTTTGAGCTTTCATTAAAGGTTGCGGTTCATTCCAAATATATAAAACCACAAGGGAAAAATTATACAAAAAAGTGTAGGATGATATTTTTCGGAATGTCAATGAAAAAATTTTATTCTATGAAAAAAAAAAATAACAATACTTTATTACTAACACATGAAAAAATTATCAATAGATTAAAAAAAAAAAAAAAAAAAGGAAAACTAAAGAAAGAAGCTTGAAAACTTTGAGTTTTAACGATAAGGACAAAATAAAGGGTAAAGTGAATAATATCAGGATTGACTTTTTGATGTAAAAATGTGGTTTTTCGTTAAAGTGAATAGTACCGGGAGTTTTTCGTTAAAGTTCCCTTAAAAAACCCTAATATATATTTAGATAAACTTGTGCACGATTTTGCAAATAAATTTAAATTGAAAACAAAAAACCACTACTAGAAATGCCACATTTATAATCTAATTACTATTTCTTTGTTATTTAAAGTAGACATGACAAAAAATGAAAAAAAATAACAAAAATTACCATCTTTGTGGCGAGAGAAGGAATTGAACCTGGGTGGGAAAGGAAACAAAAATCAAACAAAACCATGCTGGCAACTCATATATACTATTATGTATTATGAACATTTATTATGTATCTAAGCAAAACAAAACCATATGTATGTATGTATGTATGCATGTATGTATATGTGAACCAACGCAATTTTTTTGGGTACCCCTCATTTTTTTTGGGCCCCGAGCAGTTGCAGTGGGTTAGGGCCGGCCCTTGTTGAAGTCACATTAAGCATGCACCAAACCCTCTTGATAGGTGCGTAGCAAACCACAATTGCTTCTCATATAAAAAACAATATCGTGAATAAATATACAACATAGAGACAATATACTCACATTATTGTACATATCGTATCAACTATACCTACATCATCTCAATACAATATATGCAGTATTTCAACATTATTGATATTGTAACAAATTTATCTCAATACAATATGGTTAAAGAATCCTATCAATACGTTATAATTGGCATCTATATTTCTATTTTTGCTAAACACCTTTGAAATCAGTGTATGATGACTAATTTCCCTATATTATATACATAGGTGCAGTTGAATGAATGAAGGGTAGGTGCAAGTGTAAAAGTAATGTTGGTTTTGGGCGCGAAAAAAGCGGTAGGGTTGGGAAGCCAGCAAGTTTGTTGGAGAGGGGTTGTAAGACAGGTGCGGGTGAGAAAATTGTGAATACGGGGGAGCACCGGCACAGGCAGCTGTGCTTTGACCCAAAACAGGTAATAAAATCATAAACTTTCAAATTAAAACAAATAAATAAATAAATAAAAAAGAAACAGAGAGAGAGAGAGAGAGAGAGAGGGAGGAAGCCACAAGCCTAACCCAGATGATAATGTAAAGAGAGCATCCTCCTCCTGCAACCCCAGCTGTGTTTTTAATCTCGTTTCATTCGCTTATTACCCAGCAGATCAAAAAATGGTTCTATCGATATCATTTTGATGCGGGTATATATGCGAATAAAGGGAGATTATTTGTTGAAGAAACCATAAAAAATCAAAACTAAAATTAAAAGAAAAAAACAAGAAATGAGCAGGAAAAAGAACCAAGTCTGGGATGCTCCCTCCGACGACACAGCCGCGGCGGCCCCTCCTCCCCCTGAAAGAGAAAGGCTATACCTTGTGTGGCAGGGTAACAATGTACGTATGGTTTATTTTTAATTTACCTCTCACATGATTATGATTATTATCTCTTATCTTGTGCTTGTTTTAATTAATCTGTTGCTCTCATAGGATAGAACCTTGTAGTTAGCTAGAGAGAGATCTTGTTTATGCAGACCGAATCATTCGTTTGGTTTTTGTAATAAACTGATCCCCTTTTGATGCCTCTTCTTATGATTAATTTCATCAATTATTTACCCATTTGGATGTATGATTTTACGAATTTATATATGATCGAGGTGATGAAACTGGAATTAATTAATAATTTTGTCTTCCTAATGACCTGCAAAAAGCAGTACTAATCAAGGATGAACATAAATATGTTATTCTGAGGCACGTACAATGATTATCAATCATTTCTTTTTCATGCAATATTGTTCTTTCAAACAGAAAGGCAACTAAAGCTAACTTCAAAACTAATTGTACAATGTAGTTCATGGATATCAATGTCATAAGTTTGTACATACCTAGCTGCGTACAAGTACGTACGTAGAATAAACAAATGAAGTCATTAATAAATTTCACACTTGATTATCATATATATACATATATGATTTTATATATATATATATATATGGACTAACACTAGTGGAAAACTGGAACGTGTTGTCAGAAATTTTTGTGCGGTGGAAGAATTGTGTTTGGTCATGACGCTGCATCGCTGTTTCTAACAAGCTTTTTGATTGGATGCCCTGCACTAGCATTCTGCATAAGAATGCTTGTAATGATGAGACGACAAGATGGACATTATGACTATCCCGTACTAATTGGGGGAATAATCCTCACTGTTTTGGTTGGTAAATTGTAATTTAATTTATTTAGTTAATTCCTCCTAAATTATTTTATAAATGAAGGAAATTAATCTAGCAAATTAACCCAATCTGAATTGGTTCAAGGAAGGTTTTATATTATATATTCTTATGCATGCAGGATTTCATTTTTCTATACTTGACATCCGGTAGAGATCCTGGTATAATTCCGCGGAACGCACGACCACCAGAATCAAGCGAGGCATATGACGGTCCTACCCCTTCAATGGAGTGGGTCAGTAGCAAATCCTCCAGTTTGAGAATACCCCGAATAAAGGATGTAACGGTCAATGGCCATACAGTGAAGGTCAAATTTTGTGACACTTGTTTGCTGTATCGTCCACCACGTGCCTCTCATTGTTCCATCTGCAACAACTGTGTTCAGAAATTTGATCACCATTGTCCATGGGTGGGCCAGTGTATTGGATTAGTAAGTCTACCACTTGTGTCTAGCACCACTACTAGTTACTATACTCTCGTCTGCATGCATGCATTTGTGCGTGTACATACTAATCAAATGTTAATTTTTTTAATAAAAACATTATTTTTGCTCTAAACTATACTAAGTGATATCACCTAATTTTGTTGTAACTCGACTTGTTTGGGTTGTTTGCAGCGTAACTATCCGTTTTTCATTTGTTTTATTTCGTCCTCAACGTTGCTGTGCATATATGTGTTTGTGTTTTCGTGGATCAACCTTGTTCGACAAGGAGGCAATCTATGGAGGGCCATGGCGCGTGACATCGTATCAGTTATTCTAATAGTGTACTGCTTTGTAGCAGTCTGGTTTGTTGGTGGCCTTACAGTTTTCCATATCTATCTGATTTGCACAAACCAGGTATTTCTTGTTCTTTGTGTTCTTGGATCCCAAGTTCTTAATCTGTGTGTATATATTCTAACCACTAGCTAGCTGCTTGGTTTAATTTCCTATTTAAACAGACAACATATGAGAATTTCCGATACCGCTACGATAAGAACGAAAACCCCTACGCAAAGGGACTACCGGGAAACCTGAAAGAAGTGTTCTGCTCAAGGATTCCTCCCTCGATGGTTAACTTCAGAGAATGGGTTTCGGTTAAGGACATCAACGACGTCGACTTAGGAATGGCATCCATCGCTTCAGAGAGCAATAGAGGCTTCATCGCCTCCAAAGAGAAATTTGACATAGAAAAGGGAAATAAGTTTGGAAAGGATCCTGGCGGCAATATCATTGTTCCAAGTATTCTGCAGAAATTGGACTACAGTGGCATTGATGATGGTAACATGAAGAAGAAAAGGAACAATAATAATTTGAGTGGCGGTGGCTTTAATGATAATAATCTAAAGAAAGAGACGGCAGCAGAAGACGGTGATGTTGGACCTGCTGCTGCTGGATTCAAACCTTTTTTGTTTCCTGATAACAATACCGGTCAAGAAGAAAAAACAAATTTAGATGATCATCGGGGGATGAAGAGTAGTTCCGACCTAGGATCAGTTAATTCACCTACTAATGGTAATGAAAAGAGGACTACTCATCAGTAGTAGTTCCAATGCAATTGGACTCCATCCATCCATCAATCACTAGCATGCTTGTTTTCCAGACAAATTAAGGTAGTGTTTCTCGATCTTTTTCTCTGTATAATTTTCCATCAAGAATTCAAGGTTGATCATGATATATGTTAACTGATATCAAAATTCCTCATCGGACTACTATATATATATATATATGTATATGTATATGTATATGTATATACATACATATACACACGCATTTAGTGTTATCTTGTAGCTAGCTAGGATACTTAATTTATTCATAGTAATTAAAAGTTGGATCAGTGACCTTTAGTTTAATCTAATGTGAGTTTGTTTGTTTCATAGGAAACTTAATGTAATTTGCCACAATGATTGATCTATCTTCTCAACTCTCCTTCTTATCCTGCTATGTTGCTTGATGACCAGAACCAACTACTTTCTAAACCAACTCACAAAAAATCAACCAAATAAAAAACCATTTAATTATCTGATTAACATTGTCAAACTTTTAGTGTTTAAAAGAGAAACTTGGTTCATCTATTTATTGGATACCTATTAGATGACTAAACAATTCTGAAATTGGTTAATCTTTTGCATAGTTGATTTTAAAGAGATCTAGAAAATAAACGATTCCAATCATTAAGCAACAATATGGAAGAAGGAGAGCTGAGAAGGTTCAAATGAAAAAGTTGCTAATATTCATTGTAGTTACGAATTGGGAATTGCTGTTTCGACCTTTGCACCTCCAGATAAATCCACCTTATTGAATGTCTGAAATTAATGTTATACATGCATGCATACTAATACATAAATGAGTTTACCATCTCTTACTGCTTTTATTCAGGTTTTGCTGGAGAAAATTTTTCTCGGTGCATGTGTGCCAAAAAACATATTGACTCAACTTGATGGGGGGCTTAAAATGCTAAATTACTTTGACTCGAAGTCAAATTTGAAGATCAATGATGTAATTATATGATTGATGGAATGTAGAAAATGAAATTGATTCATTCTTAAGCACATTCTTGTGTGTTTAAACTGGCCCAAACGCCTACTTTATCCTACTTAATTCAGTACGTACTCCAACTGCAAAACTACTGTGATATGGCACAAACAAGTCTAGTAAATAATTAAAATAATGAAGCTGCTACATAAATATTAAAATTAAAAAGAAATTTCTTTCACAGAGTTAAGTTATTTTATTTTTAGCTTTTAGGAACCATGTAATTTATCGTTTTTTTTTTTCTCCTTTTGGGATTAAAAATGGGGCACGCAATAAACACGCTTTACATGTTTACTGGATTAGTGGACTTCACTAATGAAAATGATCATGTTACCTTACAAAGAATCCAATCTCGATTGTTACAAGGCTACATGCTAAGTTACAAATAACATTGGCATATGGTTTCACAACTTTAATGGTCCTTAAAATTGAGACCCTTTGTCATTTTGATGATTGAAATTGAAGACGATTAATATATGTCATCTTTAAAGTTAATTACCACACATCAATGTCGCCTTTACATTTGGTTTATGTTCAAACCTCCGTTAGTTACAAAATGTGTGCTCTAAAAGTCAATTACTAATTTTAGAAATTGATAACTCTTAGAAAAATACAAATGATTAATCTATAATCTAATAATGGGGCAAGACCACTAGCCAAGGATAACAACTAACAAACATAAGAAGAACTGAAGAAGTAATCTGAAGATGTTAGGTTAGAGCTTTTCTTCTTATATCCTAAACTTTTTCCTGGTTGAGGGATTATTAGGTGGATATCAATAATTCAGTAAGATTGGTACATACTATTTTTAATCAATTGGCAAAATGGTAATTCAGTAAGATTGGTACATACTATTTTTAATCAATTGGCAAAATGGTTTGCCTCAGGCCATTTATGTAGAGGGCACTAAGAGAAGTATGTAGATACTCGATAGAGGGTGAGTACAATAAATACGATAAGAAAAATAATTCTTACATGAAATTCTTATTGGAAATGTGCCCTAAATCCAATTATATGATGATACTTTACGGACATTTCACATGTTAAACTAAAATAGTTTAATATAAGGGCAAAGATTATTGTTTAAAGCCGTCTCATATAAATGTTATACGCTTACACGATACGTCCAAGGAATATGTAATTAGGAGAATGTGATCTAAAGAAGTTAGATTCATGAGACCATTCTCTTCTGTATACATATCTTATATGTTCTTGATCATAGAATTGCTAATTGGGCATTGACGATCAATTACATGATATGTCTTCTCTTTGGGTGAGTAACTGCTCTTGAGTCATTGATGCGATTGACATCAAGACAAGAATGTAGGTGCTTAATAGAGAATGACTCCACTGAACGCGATCAACAAGGAGTTCTCATACTCTTGTCACATGAGAACTCATGGTTGGGATAATGCAAAGTAGTCCTTTGACTTGAGGCATCATAGTTGTCTTATGGTTAGGTCGTTGATCTTTGACTATGTCAAAGGCACTTCGTCGGTGTCCACAACATAGTTAGGTTAAGCCACTTAGCCATGGAGGCAAGTGTAGACGTAACAAGGGATCTCTAACCTTCAAAGTATTGAGGGAGAATACTTTATGATATGATTAAGAATCTCTGGTTAGAGTATGAATGAGATTTAGGAAGTCGTTCCAAATCACATTCAAGGTAATCATATAAGTAAGAGATCACGTTGGATGGTAAACATGAATAAACTATCTAACCGAATAATGTGGTCAAAAGTATTGTATTAGAGAAAAACCGTATTGCATTTGTAATCCCAAACTGAATACGTTCTCCAACCTCTTATGATTAGCTTGGGTAGCCATGACATACTGCTAGGTGTCACTCATGGTTTATGGAAGCCCTGAAGATGTATAATCACTAAAGGGAGAATTGAAAGTAAGTCTCAATTCATAGTTGATTAGAAAGAGTTTTTAATTGCCCACTACCTCGCTAAAAGAAACCTAATGGACCGCACATCGTGTAAGGTAATAATTGAAGAAAATAACGAAGATGAGTAAGGACAATTAAATAGTTTAATTGTACATGAAAATGATTAATTAAAATTTAATTAATCATACGAAAGGTGCATATTAGGCTTTAAGTAAGTTTCGGGTTTCGGGACGTAAAATGAGTTTTGGTCCACAAGATCCATTGAGTTTAAGCTATAAGATAACTAAAACAAAATGGGAATTAACTCAAATCCAACTAGACAAAACTGGCCAAATGGAGAGGGAGTGGTGGTTCACTTATTACAAGTTTTCCACACACTTATATGGAGTAAAAAGGCAACTTAATAAGGTTTCTTTGAGGAAAGATGAGAGAACACAAGCTCTCTCTTTCTCTCTAGGAGGCTAGCCTTGTGGGAGGAAGATACTAGCATCTTCTTCCTCCCACATCACTCATCATCTTCCTTCCACTCATCCTTGGTGTTGAACCTAGGGATCTCAAACTTTGGAGACTTTTTGAGAATCCATTCCTCCATCCAAATCCAAGAAGATACGGAGCCAAGAAGCAAAGTTCTTCTATCCACATCCATGGACCCAAGGAGTAAGGAGACAAAGGAAAGAAGGCCCTCACATGGGTAAATACCATTTGCTAAGCAAAGAGATGCTTCAAACATATAAAAGTTTCTCAACTCACTTTGGTTTTTAGTTGCGTCTTGGTTCACCACAACTACTAGGCTTAGAATTTCATGGTTTAAGTTTTGTTTTAAAGTGCATAGAAACATGCTTCTACCATTTATTTGTTAAATGCATGTATTATGTTGCTTAATGAACTTAGTTTTTCAAATATTTTCCTTCAAGTGGTATCAGAGCCTAGGTCTTGTAGTTTGTGAACCTTTTTGGGTTTTGTTGTTCAATCTTTTGATTTGAATGTTGTAATGGTTACAAGCATGTTCTTACTTCTTTGAATGTAAATTTGGTTTGAAAATTTTCCATCTCAAATATTGTAGATGTAGTTCATATGAGTATGAATTTTGGATCTAAAATTTGGTGCCTTTAGTTTGGGGAACTTCAGCCAAATCCATGGGTGGGTTTTTTTTGGTTCTTGCTTGTCTTGTTAAAAGTTTTTTAAAGTGACATTAGGAATCTCTAAGTACCCTAGTATGTTAATATGTTATATATTTCCTTTAAGTTTGAGAGGTTTTGGGGTGCCTTTAGGTGAAAATTGTTGATGGAGCTCTTATGGGTTTCATGGATGTTCTTCAATATTCTTCTTATGTTCTTCATGTTTATAACAAGAACATAAAGATTTGGGTTTTTGATTCAAAATTCTTTTTAAATTTTATTTAAAATTTGTTTGTAATAGTTGATGTAAATTGATTGACACTATTCACTTCACAATTCACATCATCACCTTACCTATCACCTTACCAATCACTTTTGTTTATTTTATGAAACTTACAAAAAAAAATTTTAGACAACATCCCTCTCACCAAAACCAGCCATCCTACAAGAAGGATACTTTTGGGGTTTTTATGCAATTACATAAAGTTTTGATACTTTTGTGTATTTGTACTTTGACCTAAAAGTTTACGTTTTTTCGTAAAGGCCCAAAATCACTAAAGGACAAATGGTTTTGCTCCTTTAATGAAGTTTTTGTAATTGTTGAAATTTTCTTATTCTAGTTTTAATTACATGAAGTAGTGGACTTTTGTAATTTTACTAAGTGACCCCAAAAGGTAGTGTTTTGTATTTATAACCCAAAAGTTGAGGTTATTGCATTTTGGCTCAAATTAGGTTGGGAACAAAATAATTTTGCCTCTTTAAATGAGAATTGAATTTTCATTTCATTTAACTCTATTTAAATCAATTTTATGGATACAAAAACCAAATGGCATTGTTAATTCTAGTTTAATTTGTTAAAATGTTAATTAGTTAAAGAAATGGTGATTATGAACTTAAGCCTACGATAATTAAGCTATGTGATAGGCCATCTTTTAAACTTGTTTGAACCATGGGAATGTGTAGATTAGATTTTGGTTGTAATTTGATTTGATCAAATGTTGTAAAAGAGTATAAGCTCTTCTTTACTTTAAAAGTACTCCTCTTATGTT